GTCAGCGAGCAACAACAAACAGCCTGTCATAACACCCTGAGCCACCAGTATACTCAACTACACAACATTCTACAGGTCACTAAGTGGCAGTTTTCCTTTTCTTTTCATGTGTGTGCATGTGTGCGCATGCATGTGTGTGTATGTGTGTCTGAGACAAGGTTTCACTATGCAGTGCAGGCTGGCCTTGAACTCACATCGATCCTCCTGCCTCAACTTCCGTGCCAGAGAAAGCTTTCTTTTTTTTTTTAATTTATTTATTTGTGTGTGTGTGTGTGTGTGTGTGTGTGTGTGTGTGGCCAGCTCAGCCCACCAGGGGGCGGGGCTGGCTGGCATGTGGTCTGGGGGATTGAACCGCAGTCCCTATGCTTTGCTAAGCTTGTTCTAAGTAGGTGCTTTAGACCACTGAACCATCTCACCAGCCCAGAGAAAGCTTTCTTAAAAGAATATTCAAAGCCTAGTGGTTGCCAAAATATTTAATCAGTCTATACTCCCACCAATAGTGGAGAAGGGTTTCTTTTTCTCCACAGCCCTGTCAGCATCTGTTATTTGTTGGTTTCTTGATAGCAGCAGTTCTTTCTGGGGTGAGATGGAACCTGTGTTGTTTTAATGTGCAGCTCTCTTGAACCGGCCTGATAGCTCAGTGGACTAAAGCCCTGCTTACAAAGAGTGCAGTGTCCGGGGTTTGATCCCCAGGCCTGCTGTGCTGGTCCCACCCATCGGGTGTGCTGAGACAGAGATTGAGACTGGACATGGTGGCACATGCCTGCAATCCAAGCACTCAGGAGGCTGAAAACAGGCGGATCACTACGAGTCCAATCTAATAGTGAGATCCTGTAGACTCTGTCCTAAATACAGAAAAAAAATAATAATAATGTGCAGCACTCAAATGACCAAAGATGTTGAACATTTTTCATATATTTATTTGCCATTTGTATAAAGACTGAAAAATGCAGTAGGTATTGCAACTGTTCAAAAGGAAAGAAGGACTAGGGTGGGGGAAAGGGAAGGAAGGAAAAAGGAAAAAAGATTTAAAACAGGATAAAATGGAAACAAAGCTTTGTAAATAGGGAGCAGAAGATAGGAGAGGAGGAGACTGGGGGAAAAACAGAGGAATCAAAATATCATGTACATGTACAAATTCCCTATGGTGAATTTGATCATTATGTATATCTAAAATGTACCAACAAACTTAATTAATTAAAACATTTACAGGGGCCGGGGAGACAGCTCAGTGGAATAAGCGCTTCCCTGGCAAGCACAAGGGCCTGAGTTCAATCCCCAGTTCCACAAAAAAAAAATTACATCAGAATGACATCTGTCTGCCAAATGATCAGAAATCATAATGCTCAGGGTTATTTTTTCTCTCTTCTTTTTTTTAAACAGGGTCTCACTATGTGGTTCAGGCTGTCCTTGAACTTACTACACAGCCCAGGCTGACCTTTAACTCACAACAATCCCGCTGCCTCAGCCACCCTAGAGCTGGGATTATAGGCATACACCTATAATCTTTTTTTTTTTTTTTTTTTTTTTTTGTGGAACCGGGGATTGAACTCAGACCCTTGCACTTGTCAGGGAAGCGCTTATTCCACCCTACACCTATAATCATTTGTTTGTGCTTTGGGGACATTTGTATGTGAGACCTAAAGGAGCACCAGGGTCATTTTTTTTTTTTTTTTTTTTTTTCAGAACCAGAGATTGAACTCAGGTCCTTTCGCTTGCCAGGCAAGTGCTTATTCCACTGAGCTATCTCCCCAGCCCCGGTCATTTCTTTATGACAACACTTATAAGACTTATTTACAGTCCTTCCTAATTCTTGAAAAGGGGGTCTCCTTCCCCTAAGAGAAACAATATTCAAAGATGCCACTTTTTAATTCCATTACAAGTAGGAATCTCGTTCTCATTCATGAAATCTTCTATGGGACAAAATATCCCTTTTTGGATTTGGACTGAATGTGTTTGAAACATGCCAGAATACAAACTCAACTACTAATGGTCTTTGTTGGTCCCAGCTGTGAAATTACATATCATAAAAATGCCACAATATGCAGGGAATATTGCTCAGTGATAGGACACTTGCCCAGCATGTGTGAAGCCCTGGGTTCAATTCTTCAAAAAGAGGTGAGGTGGGGGTGGGGTTCAACCCAACAAATTAAACATCAAAGACCCTGATTATAAATACTCCCCGACAAAAGTGAACATAAATTTACAAGAGGGCCAGTTTATGATTGATGATCCAAATAAAGGAAGTCCGTCTCTCTCTCTCTCTCTCTCTCTCTCTCTCTCTCTCTCTCTCTCTCTCTCTCTCTCTCCCCCCTTTTCAGTACCAGAGATCAAACTCAGGACCT